CCCGGTGAACCGCCTCCAGGGAGCTCGGCGGCGCCTTCCCCCACCCGCCCAAGCGGCGCAGAAGGTTCGGCTGTGTGTGGGGGGGCGTGTGTGTGGCGGAGGGCGACTGGCCCAGAAACGTCAAGGCTGGAAGGAGGGAGACGGGCGCAGGCTGAAGACAGGCAGGCCCTTCTGTCGGAGCGAAGGGTTTGCTTGATTTCCCCAGCCAGCCAGAGACACTTGAAAGAGAGGGGAACATACAGAAGGAGGCCTCTCAAGATATATACATATTAAATATGTGACCTATATGAGCATCCCTACTTCCAAGTTTTAAGGTTCAAGCTTTTCAAAGTAACTCTCATAGGTATGTGTATGTGACTGTATTTGGTTCAGCTGTTTCATAGCCGTTCGGACTACAAAGAGTGCATTTACAAGCAGCCTGCGAATGTTTTTAAATGGTTCCCCACCCCGAGCCCGGCCCCAGTGATGTTTTCAGGAGCCCTGCAGGGTTCTTTTTCCTCCTTTTGGTCTGGAATGCATTACATGGTGGATACTGGCAAAGAAATCCTGAGATAAATGCAAGCCTATAGTCTTGGCAGTGTAGGTTTTGCTTTAGCATTACAGATGCAGAAAAAAAAGTACCAGGAGGAAAATTAATTTCTGGGTTATTATGGGAAAAGGCCTAAACCTTTCTGGCTTGGAGTGAGGCCTTTTCTGGCCTCAGCAGTCTCTCCTTTGGTGGAGTAAGATTTGGCGGAGCTCTCTTGGCATTTCAGCGTTATCTCATTCCAAAGCAATGACCTTGTATGGCTAGCTTTGACTGTGCAGGATGAAGAAGCAGAATTTTCCGAACCTTCTAATACATATACCTATTAAAATATACAATGTTACACGTTATCGTGTGATGTTTCTCCATAGAGCATCTCTACTCTAGTTGACATTCTTGTCGACAGCTGACATTCTGAGGATGATGACAGCATTATTTAGACTAGAGTGCTTAGTCATCTTCTATTTTGTTCTTTGTCTTCAGCTGCATGTGTGTATTTTTCTCTGCCTTGCAATCACAACAGATAAATAATTTACTCATGTTTTAATGTTTGACAACTCGTCAAACATTAAAACATGAAGAAGAGGAAGCCATAATGCTTACTAGGTAAAACTGAAATAAAGTTGAACAGTTTGCCATGGGGGAGACATGAAAATTGGAGTAGAATCCTGTTCTTTGGGCTATTTAACTCTTACTAGAGTTAATACACACTGAAATATTTTCCCCCAAAACATTAAAAACAGCAAAAATCTGAAAAAGCAACAATATAGAAATAGTACTATGGTATTTATTTATTTATTTAAAATATTTTTTAGCCGCACCATTACCAGTGGCTTCTGGGCAGCGTACAACATTAAAACTTAAAGACATTAAAAACATAATAATAGATATAACGTCTCTGTACGTTGCTGTGAAAGGCTTCCAACTAACTATTCGAATGGCCATCTACATGTTATATATTCATATGTTGATAGGATTATAACGTCCTCTGTAAATTGAATAACAGGAAGTTGTTATTCATGGGCAAATCATTTTCACATATTTTGGACTCTAGCTACTAGAATTCACCAAGAATTTCTCCAGGCAGATTTCTGGGAGATGAAGCAAAAAATTCACAGGTTGAGTTTTCTCACCTATATTTGTGACTCTGTTGCCATCTTCCTCCTTTCAAAAAGAAGAGAACTGCCCTGGTGCTTCATGGGAGTCATGAAGCCTCATGGGGTTCAATACTGGTTGACCTTTCTCACCTATATTTGTGACTCTAAATTGCCATCTTCCTCCTTTCAAAAAGAAGAGAACTGCCCTGGTGCTTCATGGGAGTCATGAAGCCTCATGGGGTTCAAAAGGCTTTCGTGGAAGAAGAAGTCTTACTTCCTCTATAGAGAGCCTCCCAAAGAACTATGCCCCCCATGAAACCTAGTGACTCCCATGAAATTCACCAAGAATTTCTCCAGGCAGATTTCTGGGAGATGAAGCAAAAAATTCACAGGTTGAGTTTTCTCACCTATATTTGTGACTCTGTTGCCATCTTCCTCCTTTCAAAAAGAAGAGAACTGCCCTGGTGCTTCATGGGAGTCATGAAGCCTCATGGGGTTCAGAAGGCTTTCGTGGAAGAAGTCTTACTTCCCCTTAGGCTCTATAGAGAGCCTCCCAAAGAACTATCCCCCCATGAAACCTAGTGACTCCCATGAAGTACTGGGGCAATTTCATTCTTTTAGAATATATGTAGTATCATGGTGATTGAGCGTGATTGGGTTCTGATACAAAGGTAAGCAGTTCCTCCCCTTTGACGGCATTAATCACAGGAGATGTAGTTTTGTTAATCAAACTTTTACTCTTAAACTGTGTAGGGGAATCAACAATAACTTCAGTGGGTCCAATGAGACCGGCTGCTTACTATATCCATGACATAGTAAGTCCATTGTTTATCTCACTGTTCCCCAACGTGGAGATGCTCCAAATCTCTCTCTGTCCGTTGGCTTTCTCATGGGACTGCTCCTCACTGCACAGATGGTCCCACAGCATGAGTGACATGCCCAATCTCCCTCTTGAGGTGTCTGAGCCGCCGGAATTGGATCTGGTCTGATCACCTTCCCCAAGGACCTTTTCCCCGTGGATATACATATATGGTCCATTCCATTTCAGCCACAGTTGGGATGTATTTCTCATTAAACTTCATTACAGCTACAAATATATTTTAAATATATTTTAAATATGTTTGTAACAAGAATGTTTGACCGGGAACAAATGGAAAAGAAGTAATGTAAATAATCAGCAATTCACAGCTGACAGTTTACACGGAGTAGGAGACTCTTGTCTTGGTGGCAGAGTGCCTACATTTAATACTTCTCTTACATCTCAGCTCTGTTGTTGGACTTCATGTTCTCTTAGAGTATTCAGTTGGGCAGAGAAGAGAGAGACCAGACATAGTGTTATGAGTTCTGCTGAAGAAGATCTGGAATCTGAGGGGTTAATTACAGCTGGGGAGAATGCTGGGCAATCAGAATCACAGGCAGCTGAATCACTTGTCTTGGTGGCAGAGTGCCTACATTTAATACTTCTAAGTCTCTTACATCTCAGCTCTGTTGTTGGTCTTCATGTTCTCTCAGAGCATTCAGTTGGGCAGAGGAGAGACCAGACATAGTGTCATGAGTTCTGCTGAAGAAGATCTGGAATCTGAGGGGTTAATTACAGCTGGGGAGAATGCTGGGCAATCAGAATCACAGGCAGCTGAATCACTACCAGATTCTCCTCATCCAGTAGCCAGAGTGAGGGAGAAGCTTCAGCAAGGACTCATGACACGAAGATCCGAAGCCCGCATGAATGCTTCCTATAGGAACATCAGGTCTACCAGCCCTGAATATTAGCAGGATGAGGTGTTTACTTGGCTGCTGTTGCTATAAAATTTGCACCCAGACACTTACAAGCTTGTGGAAGCAATAAGTCAAACACTTTGGCTCGCATCCACCTTCCTGCTTATCCTGGACCCTATTCTCTGGACCCCTGGCTTTGGACTCTGATTGCTGACTATGGTTTGTGTTTTGACTTTGGTGTTTTGGTATCTGCTTTGCATCTTCTGGACTTCTGATATTGGACTGGTTTATTGGACTGTTGCCTGTTGAAACCCCCTGGGAATGTGACACATAGGGAAAATGTACTGTACAGTTCTATAACAGTAGTTCTCAAACATCATTGGGAATCAGTCCCATTAAAATTAATGGGAGTTAGTAGCCTAAACTAGAAAAATAATGTTCTTCTCATAATTGTGGGTTATATGAATATGTGGGATTTGTATAATTTTAATTGATTTGATGCTGCAATCCTCTGTGTCTACCCAGGAGTAAGCCCCTGTTGAATTCTGTGCTCTTGGTTTGATGGCTCCTCTCATTTCATGTTGGGAATCAGTCCCATTAAAATTAAATTTCTAGCCTAAACTAGAAAAATAATGTTCTTTTCATAACTGTGGGTTATATGAATATGTGGGATTTGTATAATTTTAATTGATTTGATGCTGCAATCCTCTATGTCTACCCAGGAGTAAGCCCCTGTTGAATTCTGTGCTCTTGGTTTGATGGCTCCTCTCATTTCATTCTTGGAATAGCCATTTGCCTGTAGGGCCCAATTCAGATGGTTGAGTTCGGTGCTAAGAAATTGAGCTACAATGATATATGCCTTAGTTACATCCCGTTTGGATTACTGTAATGCGCTCTGTGTGGGGCTGCCTTTGAAGATGGTTCAGAAACCGAAGATGGTGCAAAACTCTGCAGCCAGACTACTGACTGGGACCAGCTACAGGGGGACCCATCTCTCGGTCCCATTGCCAGGACAAGCACAGTTGATGGGGACACGGGAGAGGTCCTTCTCTGTGGCAGCTCCCAGCCTATGGAACATGGAACATTCTCCCTCAGGATGGTCCCTTCCTTTTTATCCTTTCGAAAAAAGCTAAAGACCCATCTCTCCATGCAGACTTTTAACAATTACAACTGAATCACTGAACCCCATTTTAGCAGATAATTTTAATCTTTTTAATGTTCTCATGTTTTAATCTTTTACAGTGGTGCCTCGCTAGACAGTTACCCCGCATGACAGTTTTTTCACTAGACATTGACTTTTTGCGATCTCTGTAGCAGTTTGCAAAACAGTGATTCCTATGGGGTAATTTCACTGGACAATGTTTGGTCCCTCCTTCGCAAACCGATTTTCGCTAGACAACGATTTTGACAGCTCCCTCCGCGCTTGCAAAACAGGTGTTTTTGGGACCTAAGCTTCGCAAGACAGTGATTTAAACAGCTGATTGGTGGTTCGCAAAGCAGCTTTCCCATGGCCGATCAGCGCTAGATAACAACAATTCTTCCCCATTGGAACGCATTAAACAGGTTTCAATACATTCCAATGGGGAAAGGCTTTTCGCTAACCAATGATTTCGCTAAATAGCGGTTTCAGTGGAACGGATTATCATTGTCTAGCGAGGCACCACTGTAATTGTATTTTAAATCACATATTGTTTAATTTATCTTTTAATATTTAACTTATTTTGT